TAGATTATGTTAAAGTGTAAGGAAGGCATCTGAGAAACAACTTTCTCCAAAGCTTGTCGCAAATGATATGTGTTGCATTTAAAAATGGGTGACGGTTGATCGAACCCTGCAGCATGAATGATTTGAGCCATACCACTTGGGGATTTGTGAAGAGCAAGCAGCTTTCCTTTTACTGTTAACCTGTTGATAAGTCTCACAAATGTCGACTCAAGGCAATCGTGCATAAAATACAGTACGTGTGCGCATAGAATCAGATTGAATTTCTCATCTTTCTGTTCATGCTCATAGCCATCGAGATCGACCTGTTTTAAATGGAAATGATAGCTAGATACGGAGGAATGTGACGAAAGATTTTCTTTGAATAAGTCGAGTCGGTATTGATTCGGTTCAAGACCAACGTATTCAATATCAAGTAGAGAAAAACGTCGGGCAATTATGTCGAGTAGATCTAAATCAAATTGACCATCGCCGCAGCCGACAGACAACATGCGCCAACGGTGAGCTGTATCCGAAACATATTTATCGATGTTGTCATTAAAGAAGGCAAGTGTGTCATGCATATTTAACAAGGATAAGTAAGTAGCAAATCCCTTTTGATAATATGGATCCTCTGATGAAAGATCTACCAGATTGGTGGCGAATGGTGACGTCATAGAAAATATGTTCTTTGCCTTGTTAATGTAAATAATGCAGTTGAAACGTCTACTGTAGACCTAAGAAGGAAGATTTATTCGTTATTCGCTGCCTCACAATGTTTAAATGAGAAAAAGAATATGGGAGATAAGATAGTGAGCGAGGAAAGAAAACAGACAAGAGAGAAGAAACAAACTTTGCACTGTCAACGTCGATAATATACATGAAAAAAGATAGCACGAAATGAAAGAAGAATTATGCTTCGCTCAGGAATGAATGCAGTCACAGCCCTATTCCCCTTAGTAATTGATTTGGCCCATACTTCTAATGATTGAGGGTATAGGGTATGTGAGTCTATAAATCAATTCGAAGAAGATTGAGGGTGTGGGTGTGAATGTGTGTGGTGCGGGTGTGGGTGCGGATCTCTTAATCTGTTTATCAAGAACCAAGTTCATAGTCACCCACACCCCACCCCACACCCTAGCAAAGTTGAGACCTTGTAGATGTCTAGGACATCCCTGGTAGGCCGGGAAATGAATTAGCATGAGAATGTGGGCGATTGGCGTAGCTGCTTTTAATTCGATTCATATCGTTACGTATGCATACTCTATTTAGTATACCAAGTAGTTGACTATAGTTACGGTATGACAAACAACGATATTTGAGCCATTGTCGAATATTCGTGTGGCCATCATGAGCATGAAGATTGTTACTTCGACCACCATCCGTGCAAATGAATTTGTCAAGTGTGTGGCACACTAGCCTAATATCTCCCACTCAAGTAAATAGTCGAAATCTACCTTCGTATTTCAAGATGGATGTGGGTGTCGATGAAGAGAACACCACACACACGCCCATCTACACTCAACATTCACACTCTTTCTTCTACGATAAGAATTTACTCATTTTCTTCATGTTGTATAGAAAGTCTTGCTCAAACGGCCAAATATGAACAAAACACATATTTAAGTAAAGCTGAGTGAAATAGAGATAAGAAAAAAACGCAGAAGAGATTGTCTACAATATAAAACGACTATTCAAATTCTTCCACTGCACGATCAAGTGTTATTTCAAAACCAGATCATGCCTGTGAATGACAAACCGTTTACATGTTCGTTCTCATAGGTTCGAAAACTTTATTATCATTTGTTTTTTTCAGATGTTTAACCATCTCAATTTCGAGATGACGATGACGAATCTAATTTGTTTCAGAGCACGGTATAATTCTACAAATTGCCGCGCTTTTATTTATGGAATAATGCAGTATATAAGTCTTTAATTCTAAAAACATACGAAACTATTACTTTCAAGTTAAATATATTTTCTGTTGGAAAACGACAATTGTTATACTACGATCAAAGATATACATTAATACTTGTCGTATAATTGATAAAAAGTTACTTTACCAGACGATCATATTATAAGCTCGATCAAAAACAAAATAATTGATTACTTAGGGTATACCAAAAGTTCTGATCACAGTTTTTAAAATTTAATAAAGCAATAAATATTGAATATTTTACTAAGGCAATATATAGTATAACGTCTCGTCTTTAATAATATATAGAGCAACTCTCTCTTAGACTTAGTTCTAACATCCTTTCAGACTAAATCTATAATTTTACAGACAATGCAAATATTATTAATTCTTGTTCAATGGTCAGGTACATTCTGGAACTTTCTATTGGTCACTCTCTCGTCACGTTTTATGACGTCATGTTCTAGAATATTACATTTCGATAGTATATATAAATGAGAGGTCGTTCGCTGTTAGTTCATTTGTACCGTACTCGACTTAAAATCGTAATAGAATTTGATTTCAATCTTAAAAGAAGACATTAAACATGACTGATGAATTCAATCGATATTATATCAAAATTCGAGCTATTTTGGGAATAGATTCAAAAACAATCTTTGACGAACTTACAGAGGCATTGGGACCTGATGCTCCATCATATCCAACAGTCAGAAGATGGGCGAAACGTTTTCGTGAAGGAAGAGACGATGTCACTGATGATCCTCGATCTGGTCGTCCGATTTCGGTACTTACAGATGAAAATGTTGAATGCGTTCGACAAGTTATCGAAGATGATCCACACTCAACTTATGATGATATTATGGGTGAGACTGATCTATCACGTGGTACAATAGAACGAATTATTCATGATCGTCTAAAGATGAGAAAAGTTACATCACGTTGGGTTGCTCATCAACTTACTGACGAACAAAAACAAAAACGACTTAGAATTTGTCGTCAAAATTTAGAGAAATTTAGAAATGGAACATGGCATTTATGTGATGTTATTACTGGTGATGAGACATGGATTTATCACAGGCAGATTGGTCGAAAGTCAAGCAATGCTACTTGGGTTGGCGAAAATGAACTACCAAGAACCATTGTTCGTCGGAATAGATTTGAACCTAGAACACTATTTTGCTTCTTCTTCAAATCCACTGGTTCTCTTCTCATACACAAAGTAGATAAGGGCAAGACAATCGATCATGACTACTATATTGATAATTGTCTTATACCTGTTATCAATGAAATAAGAAAAAAGGAAAAGTCATCACGTACTACATATAAAATGCTTCATGATAATGGTCCTCCTCATACTCATCCAGATGTTATTGATTATTTAATGGAGGAAGGAATCGAAATCATTCCACATCCACCATATTCACCAGATCTCGCACCGTGTGACTTTTGGCTAAATGATTATATCAAGAACAAGTTGACGGATCACACAAACGAAGAATCATTAGCTCAAGAGGTTTCCACCATAGTGAAGAATATTCCAATAAACGAGTTTAAAAAGACTTTCGATAAGCTGTTAGAAAGAATGAAACTTTGTATCGGAAATAATGGTGATTATTTTGAGCATTTAATAAAATAAAATAACGAATGTCTCTTCGTTTCTGTATTGTGGTTTTATGTTGGCATGATCTTTTCTTGGCTATAAATACTATAGATTTAGTCTGAAAGGATGTTAGAACTAAGTCTAAGAGAGAGTTGCTCTATATATTATTAAAGACGAGACGTTATACTATATATTGCCTTAGTAAAATATTCAATATTTATTGCTTTATTAAATTTTAAAAACTGTGATCAGAACTTTTGGTATACCCTAAGTACATGAGAGTTTCAATAGAAACTAGTTTTCTGTTCCTTTATTGAAAAAAAGTAGATCATTTCAATGAATCTTTTCTTTTACCTGCATTTATTTTTATATAAAATAATGGTTTGATATTTTTGTTCAATTAAAGAACTTTTATTGCCGAGTTACTATTTTAGTGAAAAGTCAAATCAAGTGTCACCTTTCTTATGTATAGTTTCCAAAAAAAAATAATTTGAACATTCAGAATACATGTTTAAGATAAGAAGTTGTTCTTTCGCGACTCATTTTGTTATTTGCTCAATTCAGCAGCGGAAAACTATGCTGCAGACGAGACTCTCCTTTTGTTAGTTTTTCCTAATCATGTTACTTTTTAATGAGGGCATTTTGAAGAAATTAAGAATTTGATCGATACTTTGAAATGAAACTTTGATTAGTTTTTCTATTTTTCTTTTGTACAGAAAAACACATAGCAACGCCTGCTATTTAAGAGTGAAATAGTGTGAACTTACACAACGGTAAAGAAGTTTTTGAATCATATAAAATAATTCTTGATCTCAAATTCATATAGATTTCTGGCTTAATATTGAAATAGGCTCTATTTTACAAAGTTGAAAGATTTCATCACAGGTGAGTAAACAATAGTTATAAATACAATTTAAAAGAATTAGTGTATTTCTATCAATATTATTTCTTTCTAAACTTAAAATTGATATCAAAGATAGTTAAATGAATAAAATAGAGAAACATTTCGATAGAAAATTTCACAATTCAAATTATTTTGTCTTTCTTGAACATAATTCATTATTCAATATTTTCATAATTAATCAATAACGATCAATAAGACATAATATCTTTCATAAATTTCAATGAGAAAAAGAGAAAATGAGTCCGATCAAAAACTATAATTATTATTTGCAGTATAAAAATTTCGAAAATAAAATCAAAGTTTTTAAAACATTCGATTTTACTTCTCAAATATCAATCAAGTCTATGTTACATAATTATAAATCTTGTGGTGTAGCAAGAGAAGACGTGAATAGAATTGATAGAAGAGTACTTTTTTTTTATTCAAGTTGAGCTATACATCATTATAAGAATATCTGTATGATTAATAAAGGACAAAATAAAATTAAAAATTAAAATAAAACAAAACTAAGAATGATATTTATCATGGATTAATAAGAGATTTTATTGTGATTAGTTTTGTTTGCTTAAAATAAGCTTACTAGATGTCCAAAGAAAATCATCTGATCACCAAAGACGTAATGTTTGTAAACGAGGCATATGTGTGCTAAGAAAAGGCACAAGATATTTACCAATATGATTTGCTTTGTTGTAACCATAATGACAACTCGGAAGACAAAATTCAGCATATCGAACACTACTTAATACATTCGTTCTTAATTCGTTCGATGCCTAAATAGAAAAGAAAAATCAAAAGAAATAAATCATAATAATCTATCAGAATTGATTCATCAAATCAAACTAATTATATTAAAATGCTAGGAAAAAATAGTTTAATAACGATCTACGTAGAACAGTCGTTAAACAATTTTTTGTTTTATCTCGTCTATAATCTTGGCTTTCCATTCTCACTCCTAAAGTGATTACATAGTACTGGAATAACAATGTAATTCTAATATTAAGCAACTACTTTATATGCCCTCTTGAACTGACTAGTTTCAGTCGCTTTGACTATTGAGATCATTCTACATCTCATGTTTTTAAGTGCTTTCAAATCTTTGGTTATTTTTATTCTGGATTTACATTAGCATTTTCTTTCTTTTCCATCGATAAATTAGAGATAACTGTTGTTATTTCTTCTCTTTTTCTTCAAAACATAAAACGACTCCATTTGTTTATTCTTTATTTTTAAATGCTAACATATAATTTCGTGTAGAAAATGAATGCACAAAATACTTCTTTTTTTGTTTTGTTTATGTTTATTTCAAAACGAATAGTTTTAGCTCAAACACGAACCAGATAGACTACATTTTTTATCACGGTCGAAAGTGTTTTGACTCTGACGGTACGTTACGAGTAAATTTTTTTCTTCTCAAAACTGTTGCTTTTTCAGTTCTTAATTTAAATGATAGATTCAACAGCTTTGTTTAGGAATATATATACATATGAAGAATACAACGTAAAAAGGTGACTTTTGCTTGAAATAAGTCTGAATTCGACTAGAAAACAATAATGATAATTTTATGTCAAGAATAAAACTATTCTACTAATGTGAGTTTGATTGAAAAACTCTTTTAATTCTAGAATGATATACTTTACTTAAAAAGTATTAACAATAGAAATGAAGAATAGAAAAAAATAATTGTAAAAATGTTGGATTGGATTTCAATTTGATTTGGTGTTTGTCGTCAAATGTTAATCGGACACAAGCGATTAAATAGTATATTTTTTACAAGCAAACAACGTCATTTGAAAGCTAAAAGACATTTCTACTTAACAAATGTTTCAAAAAAAATTTTATTCTCAGTAAGAAATTAGTACTCATCGTTTATTCAGATTCAATAAACATTCGACACAATCCTCTACTGTAAATATGTATATATTGATAACGAGAAAATGAAATTCTATAAATCTAGAGTGTTATGAAGATTAAAAAATTCGATATAAGAATATAAAATCGATGATGCTCAAAAGATAAAAGAAAAGATCAATCTATAATTCTTTAATGTTTGATAAAAATCGTAGCTAGTCGTGAGTGAACTTCAATTACCACAACGATTTATGGCTTTGAATTACGACGATAACACCAATCTCTAGACTCGTCACTAATTTCGAATTAGTCGAAGTTAAAGTGCTGTTAAATATTTTCCAAGAGGAAATAAAAATGAAATCTCTAGATCAGAAATTACAAAAAGTTCAATAGAAAGTTCTAAACTTGAAAATAATTGAACAGTTTAATTATACAAAAAAAAAGAACATCATATAACTTATCAATATACTATGTAATTAGTCTAAAACTTGTAGCTTCTCAAAAGGGATACTTTAAAAAGTGTCAATTTTCTTCAAATGATGCAAGATTTAATTGTCAAATTGTTTAACTTGAATATATTCAAATCAATTATATAAAAAGATCAGAAATAAGAGAAGACTTACGTATTGAATAACATGTAAGAGCCATTCGAATTGTTCAACTAGAAGACATTTGAGCTGTACAGTCATTGAAATGAGAAGTGCAAGTACTTTTTCACGTATTTCATTTCGATCTATTGGTTCATCGACACGATCTAGAAAAAATATCTTTGATTCTACATAATTTCCATAAGAATATTTGTTAAACAACAAAACAGATTTATTCTCGTCGATATTTTTTCAAACTGAAGATTATTTTTCTAAAATCTTTCTTTCAAGTCATGCATATGCATGTTAAAGTAAAATATTAATGGGTGAATGATTTTCTAATTGATAACTCGTGGGATTAATACTAGAAAGAGAAAAGTCAGCTTTGTTTTTACAATAGAGCTGCCATATTGCAAAGTTTCAATGAGCTATACACATTCTCAAATAGGGTACGCGTGTAATGCAACTTTTTTTATAAATAGGATACAGTGATGAGAGTACATAATTTATAAATAGTGTAAGATACTCTGAAAGAGAACCAATTATATAAGAGCATGTATTTAATGAGAGAAGTTATGTCTGTTGTCATTTCTCAAGAAAATGATTTGTGATGCTCATTTTCTAAAAAAAGTAACGTTAGAAATAAACGATTTTCGATAAAATTCTACTTGAAAAACTACTATCGGACTTTTTAAAGAAGGCAACTAAAGAAAAGCTTATGACTTTTGAACGAAAAGTCGTAGAGATCTGCAGTTTTCACCATACAATTCAATAGAGGACAGCGTTGGCCACAAGCCTATGTATCGGGGGTGTTTTTCTAAGGCACTTTTTTAGACTAATTTTAGATGCAAAATTAGGAAAAAATTAGCGAATTTTTGAGAAATGTTCTTTTGATTTTTTCTCGCTAGTTGTGTAGTCCGAAGCATCTTCTTGAAAATGGTATCTAAGCAACTGTGTCTTACGTGCACTCGCTCTCTTAAAAAACCTCTAGCGTCTTGAGAAAACAAAATTTTGAAGTTGCTTAAATACCATTTTTTAGAAGACGCTTCTGACTACAAAACTAGCGGAAATTGTTTTTTTTATTGTCAAGAAAATTCGCTAATTTTTTCCTAGTTTCGCCTACTAAAATTAGCCTAAAAAAGTGCCTTAGGAAAACACTTCCGATACATAAGTTTGTGTCCAACACTATCCTCTATTGAATTGTATGGTGAAAACTGCAGATCGCTACGACTTTTCGTTCAAAAGTTATAAGCTTTTTTCAGCTGCCTTATTTTAATATTCCAATACTAGAATGGGTACATTCTAGTGAGATAAATATTAACCATTTCTATTAATTAAATAAATCTTATTTGAAGCGTGTGTGTCTTTTGCTTTTTTACCAGTTATCGATCGGTTTAGACTGGAAATTTATAAATAGGTAAGATATTTCGACTTATGTTTACTACAAATTCCAAAATAAAAGACCATGGCCTTTTATTATGGGGACTCAGATTGCTCTTTCAGTAACGATTCTTCACTGCAGTCGGCTAGATTTTTACTGACTTTTACCCGAAAACAAAGGATTTTTAGTAACTGAGTGCCACAAAATCTGGATTTTTACTGAAGAAAACAATTTTTTTACTATATAGGAAATAAATTATTTTTATGACAAAAAGCTACATTTTACTTTAAAAAGTATTTCTCGGTACTAGAATCTGAAAAAACCTCTTCGACTTTCAGAAAAAAAAACTTTCGAAAGCCTGTGGCTTTCTAATACATCTTGCGAACAATTTCTAGAAGGTGATCTTTTACTATGGAATAGCCTTCGATGTTGGGGCTTGGTTTTATTTAATTATACTCAGTGTGCTTTTTTTCATCTAACGATAATGTATCAACGAAGATTTAGATTTAAAGAACAACAAGATAGTGACATTTATACTTTATAACTATATAAAAACTTCCTTAGCTGCAAAAGAAAGTTTTTGATAACTTCTATGAATACACTGTTCATTATATTTAGCGAAGAGAAATAAATGCTAAAATAGGGTACCAAAATTCGAAATGGGGTATTGTTTGGGATGCACAGTTTCGGTGAAAACAGTGGAAAACCGACAGTGATGTACCGACACTGACTGAACGAATATCGGTTTTCACTGCAGCGGTAACAGAATTGGCACTGACCAAACTCACTATAGTCAAGGATAAAAGTTTAAATCTAAACGTATTTTTGATTTTTTTCAATAATACTAGACACCTAGCTTTGATCCAAATAGTGGTTTCAAAGATGGGGAGAGAGGGGAGAGGGTAACACTTCCATAAGTCATGCACAGAAATATCTTAAACTCCATTGTGTTTTTTAAAATGGCAAAAATAATTTTGTCATTTGCTTATCGATCGTATAAAAGCAAAATGTTCGATAATTGGATTATGAGTAAATTCAAAATTAATTAAATATATCAGGAAAAGAAACTATTTCAGCTTTTCCAACAATCATCTGGTATTAACCTGGATTTAATGACATATTTAAATAACTTATTGAACGCAAGATCATTTCTATTTCTTATATAACAGTCGAGAAAAAATATAAATATTTTCAGTTATTTATTATTTTATGTAAAACGATTATCTTTTTGCATACAATGTTTTTAATATTGATTAGAAATATCCTTCAATTGTAAACTAGAGATGTGCAGGATTACCCTAGTCTGTAGGGTAGATCAGGCTAAGACAATTATAGGATTGGATGAGGATAAGACAGTAATAGAGTAGGGCAGGGTAGGAGGAAGAAAAAAGCTTACCCTATACATCTCTTGTGTAAACCATTGATAGGAGTTTTCGTTAATTTTTCTTATTGATATCTCAAGAATCAATATTTTTTACTGTTGTCTTTCTATTCATACTAGATCATTTAACTGTATATTTCGATCTGAATCGCTTCTTTTTGTAGTATGTTTATACGTATTCAATATTCAGATGACATCTTAAAGTACACGTAAGACTTGCAAAACTAATTGATAGAAAACACCAATGAAAAACAAGTGTAGAACAGGATGTATACTAATAGAGTTGTAACCGGCCCCGTCCGACCAGTCCAAGTTTTAGACAGGCTGGTTCAAAAAACTTTTCAGGTCGGTAAAAACCGACATAAACTGACTGATATGTAGATCGTCTACTATTGGTCAAGAACAGAGTCTTCAAAAAACAACCATCTTCGTATTATTTACTCGTGTTTTTATGAATCTTTAAGAAGAAGCATGATACTATACTTGTTTACATTTGTAGACTTTCTCAAAGATGAGTACGTTTTGTTTCTCTAGAGAGAAAAAACAATCATCCAGGTGGCATTCGATTGCTAATCTGCAGATCTTAAATTTTTAACTTACATTTTACAGATAAGATGATATTTTTCTCTAAACGACGGTCTGCCCTTAAAAAAACTACTCTCTATCAAAACATCATTGGGATAAATTGAGAAATTGATCTCCAGTAAAACTGTTTTGATTTTGTGAAATACTATCTAAAAAGAGTGTTGAACTGTATATGAGTAGAAAATTGGACTGACTTCGACCTCTTCACACAGACCGTGACTGACACATTAATAACGATTCCTTTCCTGCCCACATCCTCCTCTCTCTCCCAATCACAGCATGACCCACACTCTACCAAAGGCCGTCATAGATCGTGGCAGAAATCTTAGTGCTGCCACTACGCCCTTATGAGCCATAATGCATATACCTGACAAATTGAAACCTGCTGCATGGTTAGTATGGAACATAATTGAATTCAAGACACTTGCCAGTTGTCTTTTGATCACACTCACTGTAATATATTACGATTAACAGTAAATAGTGATTTAGAATCAAGGCATATATTGCTAAATTCCCTATTTACATTGTTATTAATGTGATTGTGTGTCATATTTTAATTCATCAGGGACTGCGCTAACAGCTTTTTTAGGAAATGAAATGAACTTCGATTAAAAATATAAGCGTTTAGGCAAACCAAAGAAAATAAACCGAATAGATTTTTATACAATATATTCATTTTGATAAAGGAACTTAAATTTGTTGTTGACATATTTTATTGAGAAAAAATTGTAGATTTAAAGGGTGTGGGTGTGAGTGTGGGTGGGTGTGTGAATGTCATAAAAGAAAACTCCACACCCACCCCCATCCACACCCACACCCAATCAAAATTCCTATTTTAAATTCGAAATATTTGTTTCCAATATTACTTCTTGGAATTCCATTGACTACCTTCATATGCAATCCATTCACATAAGCATTCAATGAACAGTTTAGCATAAACCATATTGATCCATTCTGGCGGTAATTTAGTGTAACCGTAGAATGCACCTGCTAATTGGCCATAAATAGCCGCTGTTGTATCGGTATCGTCACCTAAATTTACTGCTTCTATTGCGCCTTCTTTAAATGTCTTAGTTTTCCAAAACGCCCATAGAGCAGCTTCAAGAGAATTGACTACATATCCTTTGCCTCGTATCCCATCATCATATCCTTTTCTCTTCTTAAAAGATCCTTTTGCAACTTTTTCAATTTCTGGATGTAAAGGATCGCCTTTGAACAATTTCTTCAGCTCGTTCGAGTAAAATTCTTCACTAAGCAGCTGATCTTTTCCTACTTTGTTCAGCAGAACAGCAATAATGAGTGCTCCATAATAACGGCAGGCATCATATGCTCTTTTATCTCCGTGAGTAATCCCACCACTGATTCCTGAAAAATCAACAGCTACTTGTGGTTTTTGATGGAAAAACAGAGGTACTGGTGCCAAACGCATAAGTGCACCGTTACCGGCTGCTTCATCTGAGCCACAGTAGACTGGAAAATTTTTGAGAAGCTTCTTATCTGAAAGAAAATCGATTTCGTCAAACGGAATATTATTGTTTCGAGCGAACTCTGTTTGTTGATTTTCAAATTTACGAATTGCTTTTTTAGTAGCTGCACCAATATCAAAGCAATTTCCCGTCGATGACATGTATCCATGTCTAAACCACCATTTATATCGAACCAATTGATCATAAGGTTCAAAGTCACAACGAGCTACTAACGAATTTGCTAAGCAAAGAGCCATAGATCCATCATCGGTGAACTAAAATAAACTTTTTCTTTATTGAATTCCAAAATAAGTACATAGAAAGGTTAGATTAATGCTTAGTTTTGTAAAAAGAAAACGGTTGTTTCAAATAAATAGACCCTTTAGTTGTTTATTTAAACAATTCGAAGTCTCAATTATTTAGTTACTATGTAAAAATTTGATTAACGATGTTTTTAAAAGAGAGAGATAATCCCGCTGATTTTGTTTTACGATTTCATCGATAGTAGTCTGTAAATATAGGTGAGTTCACTATAGAAACAGCTCACTTTTACAAGTTGAAATAATTCTCTTCAGATATTTGTATTTTCTAGGAAAGAAAAAGTTTAAAGAGTCTGTTGAATCCTTCGATAATCGAATAGAATAAAAAATAGATATCGCTAGAGAAAGACCTAGAAGAAGAAATTGAAATTTGCATCAACATGGTTTCATGGAATAGAATCCTGTGATTGTATTCTGAATTTCTGCCTGACATGAAAACGGACACATCATGTGTTTACGTTCGATGATTTCTGAGTCAATTACTTTTACTCACAATAAAAAAGAAGTCTCATAGATGAAAATCATATATAATTTACACTACTAAAGGAAAATAATATTTACATCAAAAATGAATAAAATATTCTTGAAAACGATTTACCTGTCCTTTCTCAAGACCCCATGTTCCTCCACTTTGTAGATCAGAAACTGGATTGGCGAGTAAATAAGCATGTGATCTGAATTCGACATGAGCACCTAAAGCATCTCCCAAAAGTAAACCAAACATTGAACCCTTAATACGATTCAGAATATTTTCATCAATTGATCCAGGAGGACTAGTGAGATATCTCTCACATTCCTTCGGCATAAAAATCATTGTACATTTATGATCTTTAAAACGACATTCCAACCATCTTTTATTTTCATCTAAACAAAAGTCGATTCAGACAGCACATCCCATGAGGACTAATATAATCCAATAGTTTATATGATTAAGAAAATCAATTTTAAAAGTATCATTCAAGATTAGGATGATATTTTGATTTTTCTGTCTACGTAGTGAATGTCGACTTCAGCTAAAACTATGGGTCAAAAGACATTTCTTCGTAGAGTTCGTGGACAGTATTACAAAGACAACGCATAAAACTTATTATTTACAATAGTTGAAGCAATTCACTACTTTTGTTAGTTTAACTTATCAAGCTGTACTTAACATTAAGGTTGAATGCGTACGTGTTTGAGTATGGTTCTCGTCTTTATTTCACAAACTACTCATCTGAATTACATATTTTCTCTTTATGTATTTTTGTACTCCGCAAAATGTATACTACTCGATATTTTGTATTATAGAGGATGCTTAAAATAGAAATTAGTGTTTTCTCAGCACATGATATATATATATATCAGCTGATTCAAGAGTGAGCACAGTATGTCAGCTTGGTGACAAAACAATGAAGATCAAGAATCTATTGTAGAGATATTGTTTCTTAATGCCTGTAACACTACGAGTGTACAGGATGTGGATTTGTGTGTGTATTAGAAGAGCAGGTATAAGCAAATCTATACCCCTACTCTTCGATAGAAGATAGTGTTTTAAACAAATAGAAAAGGAAAGAAAGTCATTGTTGACGCACGTTTTGTAGAAATATAAATTATGAAGAAGTGACAAGTATCAATTAAAAGATTTGTATTATAGCAAAAAAGAGTGACGCAACCACTAAGAAAATTTCAGATATGCCGTCGAGAATTTGAAAGGAAGATCCGAATGTCTACTCCATCGGGAGACTTTTTTTGCTTCAGAATAAATCTTTTCAATCTTATTTATCTGTATCTGCGTTTAGCTAAGCAGGATACTCGTAAAGTATAAGAGCCTTCTTCTGACTTTCGAATTAAGTAAAAAAAACACCTTATAGCTGTTTCAATAAGTAAGTTGAACATCTAACTGTTTAAAAATAATAATGATGAAAAAGATTTCTTTCTCCTATCGAAAACAATCATCTTGCAAATTTTTGAAAATACATTAGCAGTGTCTCACCTCTTGTAAGCTTGCATGCTGAATGTGATGATTCTGTTGATCCAAGTTCTAGAAAAAAATTAAGAATATTAAAAGTTGGAAATGTACAAATCATTAATTTAAAATATTTCATTTTTCTCACCTACGGATTACAGAACTTGAATATTTACTTTATCGTGGCATCATAGTCGAGCTACCGACTTCATGTAGAAATTTTATTGAAATGTTTGACATTCTCTATAATTATGCACTATTTGAGAATTTCGACGAAATCATAGAATGAGTTTGAGGTTGTGCGTGCATTAGAATTAACTTTTTGTTCAATCTCATTCTTAATTACACTCTATCCAAATTCATGGGACCTTATGACTTTCCATTAGATAAATTTACAAAACTATTTCTATTGTCTAAGTTATCTGTTTACTTCAAGTAGATGATCGATGATT